AATGATTCAGTGATAAAATCAGTGACTTGACGCCACCTGCTGGCAGTTTTAGTTTATTTTTTTTAAAAGCATCTTTTCTGTTATTTAAATTTTTATATTCAAAATGTTATATTTAAAACATTAACCTCAACATGAATTTATGAATTTAATTGCACCCATGCGACCTCTGAGCCTCATTAAACGCCTGAAAATACACCTACAAGCACACACATTTATTTCTTAAATACTGATTTCATTTGATTGGTAACTTATTCTTATTCTACTCGTTTTTATTCTGTTGTTTTAATTAGAAATGTTAAAAAGCTTAAATATATTTTTTATTTAAAGTTAGAAAAATGCCATTACAAAGGTAAAAACAAAATTCCCTATAAATCACTTTAAGGAGTCTATTATCACCTCGTAATGGGAAGGTAAATTTTTTTATCAGAATTTTTGATTACTGATTAGAAGGTGCTCCTAAAAGCACAAGCACTCCTAAAAAGAAAAGTATCCGTAGAGCCCTGCTTGACACGCTTATGGGGAAACTCCTTCTTACTCTGATACTGAAACCTGATTTATTCACTTTCGTGTAGCTGCACAAAACAATGACGCTTCAACCTGTCAAAAGGGGAGGAGCCGACCTCTGTATAATTCGGCTCTATAGAAGCCTTCCCCTGCAGCCATCTGGCACATCTAAGAGCAAATTTCCAGCAACATTGCTGCAAACGTCACACCGCGAGTGTGGCTCGTCCAGCGAACCCCTGCACAATGCAGATGGGCACAGTGAGTGCATCACCTGTCTGGGCTGCGCTCACTGAGACGGCATGCTCTCACTGCGAGAGCATGAGTCTCACCTTCTCCACTCGCCGATTGCCGCCTTTAATGAAGGCGGTTCTCCCCACTCTGCTCTCCTGCTTCCGCTCTCCCCTAGGAGAAAGAAACAGCGGAGCAGCGGGGCTTTAACACCAGGCCTGAGTGAACTCACACCTGCAGCTCCCGTGTGCTTCACTCTACCACCAACTTCGATTCGACTGTGTGCTTCACACGTGAGGATCAGCGCCCCTCGTTGGCTGCGAGCAGCTTTATTTCCTTCGGCACATCTGAGGATGAAGCCATTGTTGAGGACTCCATATTAACGGCTTCGGATGCTGAAGAGTGGGCGTGTTCTGTTGAAAAGCCAAAACCCCGCCTCTGACGCAGACAACATGGCCCAGCGTGGACAGCGAGCTGATCCGCGTTCCAACTAAGGCTGTGGAGGATCTCGGCCTGGCTTGGTTGGCTCTGGAAGAGCCCACCCACGGCCTCATTGATGAATGGTTGACAATGAAGGAACATAGTTAACATACCTCCCGCCAACGGCCCACTCTGTTCCTGCCGGCAGTTCACGAGGAACTCACCAGGACGTGGCGCGCCCCCTACTCGGCACGTGTTAATCGATGCCCTCCTTTTGGCTTTAGCATCTGTCGAGCAAGTGGGTGACGTGCAAGCTCTGTCAGTCAGTGCTTCCGGTCTTGAGTTTAGGCCTAACGACTGTAGAGTCGTCCTCAAACCGAGACACGGCTTTGTGCTAAAAGTGCTCTCCACTCCGTTTAGAGCACAAGTGATCACCTTTCTTGTGCTCCCCAATCCAGATGGTGAGCAGGGTCCCAATCCACTCTGCCCAGTTCGGGCTCTCAGAGTGTATGTCAAGCGCTCTGGCCAGTTTAGATACTCAGAGCAGCTCTTTGTGTGCTTCTGAGGCCGCTCTAAAGCGCTGCCGGTTACAAAGCAGACTCACTTGATAGTGGATGCTATAGCCTTGGCTTACGCCTCAGCGGGCTTGCAGTGCCCTATAGGTGTGAGGGCCCACTCCACCAGAGGAATGGCCTCCTCCTGGGCTTGGTCCAGTGGGATTTCTAGTGGTGATATTTGTGTGGCCGCCGGCTGGTCGCCGCAGTCTACTTCACCAGGTTTTATATCTATAACTGCAGGCACAGACTTTGTCCGCTTAATTCTACCTAATCCCCTTTGTAAGTGGAGAGGGTTATGTTATGGATATGTATATGTGCTGGTATCTTTTTTGGTAACTGTATCATAATAAACTTTAAGCAAATGTGATGTTAGTGATGCGAGTGATTCTTTACTTCAGTGGAATATTTAACATCATGAGTTGATCTAGGGCGCCTTACGTTTTTTGTTGTTGACATGTAGAATACCTCACACATAAAGCCACCAAAACCCCCCCCCCCAATAATCTCATATGATTCACTATGAACTGTGCTGTCAGTCACAAACATACACACACAAACATAGTCCTTTAAATGAGTGAGTCTCATCAGGTTTCTCAACAGGGCAGGTGTTGTTTCAGGTAGTTTATTCTTCTTACCTGTTTCTTGATTACATACTCGTCTCCTGCCTCTGCCTTGAGACGCTCAATCTTCTCTTCCTGCTGCTTTGCCTCCTTTATGTACAACACCTCCTCTTTGGCCAAACTGAAAGAGAGAGAGAGAGAGAGACAAGAATGAGAATGGATAGAAGTGAGTTTTACTTTTTAAAAAAAAAAAAAAAAAAAAAAAAAAAAAAAAAAAAAATTTTTTTTTAACGGAG